TAATATACCCTTAAAAGCATAGATGAACTGGGGCACCTGGGTGGCTCAGTTGGTTAAGCATTTGACTTTTGATTTCAGCTCAGGTCATGATCTTGGGTCCTAGGATCAAGCCCCACGTTGGGCTCTGTGCTCAGCTGGGAGTCCGCTTGAGGATTTTTCTCCCTCTGCCCATCTCCCTGCTCACTCTCTCTCTTTCTCTAAAATAAATAAATAAATCTAAAAAAAAAAAAAAAAGCCTGGATGAACTATGAAATTTAATCCCCATTGGCCTTTTCCGGCTAAAAGAAATAAATTTCATGGGGCGCCTGGGTGGCTCAGTTGGTTGAGCGACTGCCTTCGGCTCAGGTCATGATCCTGGAGTCCCGGGATCGAGTCCCGCATCGGGCTCCCTGCTCAGCAGGGAACCTGCTTCTCCCTCTGACCCTCCCCCCTCTCATGTGCTCTCTCTCTCTCATTCTCTCTCTCAAGTAAATAAATAAAATCTTTAAAAAAAAAAAAAAAAGAAAGAAATTTCAGAAACCCCTGAATTTTGAAATAGCAAATATTTGTTACATTTTTCAGACTAGGATGGATAGTCAAATGCACGGTCCTGAGCAGCACTTACTAAAACCCTAATTTCTCTCCTTTCTGGTTTTATCACACACTAGAAGCTGCTCTGCAGCTCCCAGACTTACTTCAACCCCCAAACCCAGCATCCTACCCACCTTTCTCTGGCTCCCCCACCATTCCTTTTAACCACATTAACCTGTCCTAGCTCTGGCTACATGAGCTCCATCCTGTTTGCAAGCAGGGAGGAGGGACAGAGTTGGCCTGGGCAATGCCAGGAGGATTCTCTTTCTTTCCTTTCCTTTTCCTTTCTCTTAATTTTTTAAATTTAAATTCAATTTAGTTGACATATAGTGTATTAATAGTTTCAGGGATAGAATTTAGTGATTCATCAGTTGCATATAACACCCAGTGCTCATCACAAGTGCCCTCCCTAATGCCCATCACACATTTACCCCTTCCCCCCACCCACCTCCCCTCCAGCAACCTTTAGTTTGTTTCCTATAGTTAAGAGTCTCTTATGGTTTGCCTCCCTCTCTGTTTTTTGTTTTTTTTTTTTAGGTATCAGTTATTTTTTTTTATTATGTTAATCCCCATACATTACATCATTAGTTTTAGATGAAGTGTTCCATGATTCATTGTTTGTGCATAACACCCAGTGCTCCATGCAGAATGTGCCCTCCTCAATACCCACCACCAGGCTAACCCATCCTCCCACCCCCCTCCCCTCTAGAACCCTGTTTGTTTTTCAGAGTCCATCGTCTCTCATGGTTCGTCTACCCCTCCGATTTCCCCCGCTTCATTCTTCCCCTCCCGCTACCTTCTTCTTCTTCTTTTTTTTTTCTTAACATATATTGCATTATTTGTTTCAGAGGTACAGATCTGAGATTCAACAGTCTTGCACAATTCATAGCGCTTACCAGAGCATATACCCTCCCCAGTGTCTATCACCAGTCACCCCATCCCTCCCCTCCCACCCCCCACTCCAGCAACCCTCAGTTTGTTTCCTGCAATTAAGAATTCCTCATATCAGTGAGATCATATGATACATGTCTTTCTCTGTTTGACTTATTTCACTCAACATAATACCCTCCAGTTCCATCCACGTCGTTGCAAATGGCAAGATCTCATTCCTTTTGATGGCTGCATAATATTCCATTGTATATATATACCACATCTTCTTTATCCATTCATCTGTCGATGGACATCTTGGCTCTTTCCACAGTTTGGCTATTGTGGACATTGCTGCTATAAACATCGGGGTGCACGTCCCTCTCTGTTTTTATCTTATTTTATTTTTTCCTTCCCTTCCCCTATGTTCATCTGTTTTATTTCTTAAGTTCCACATATGAGTGAAATCCTATGGTATTTGTCTTTCTCTGACTTATTTCACTTAGCATAATACCCTCTGCTTCCATCGACATCACTGCAAATGGCAAGATTTCATTCTTTCTGATAGCTGAGTAATTTCCATTGTATATAAACACCACAACTTCTTTATCCATTCATCTGTCGATGGAGATCTGGGCTCTGTCCATAGTTTGACTCTTGTGGATATTGCTACTATGAACATTGGGGTACAGGTGCCCCTTCAGATCACTAGTTTTGTATTTTTGGGGTAAATCCCTAGTAGTGCAATTGCTGGGTCGTAGGGTAGCTCTATTTTTAACTTCTTGAGGAACCTCTACACTGTTTTCCAGAGTGGCAGCACCAGCTTGCATTCCCACCAGCAGTGTAAGAGGGTTCCCCTTTCTCTGCAGAGGATTCTCTTTCTTGAGCTGGGGAAAATGCTATGAACTTTATGTAAAAAGTAATTTTTAGACCTGTCACAATAAGTTTATAATTATAAACTTTTCACTTAAATGTACTTTCAGACATATTATCACATTTCCTCTTTAAGATATTTTATGACATTCTCATAATACATTACTATTTTTAGGATGCTAGCTGACTTGGCTGAGTTAAGTGTAGAGGCAAAACTTGAATCTGGGTCTTTTAACTCCTAGTCCTGTGCCTCTGTCTGTCTGTCTGTCTGTCTATCTATCTATCTATCTATCTATCTATCTATCTATCTATCTATCATCTCCCTATCTATCTCACCATCTAATCACCTATATTTCTTTATCCATCCATCTAGTCTCATTGCTTTACCATAACCATACTCAAATGGGTGCATGTAACTCATGTTCTAAGAGTAGAATGTGGGAGGCAATGGTCATAAATGGTTGGCATCCTCCCAGCCACATAGTACTGTGTGGTGCATGCCAGTCCTCACGGTCAACCACCACTGAAGCTGCCAACACATTCTAAAGTGTCGTAACAACTGAAGGTAAACTATCAGAATGGAGGACCATAAGGGGAGAGATATAGGCAATGAGACAATTTTATGGGGTGGGTATGCTCTAACATTTTACTATCACTTATTCCTAATTCCACCTTTCCTGAGTAATGTGTCTGATCAAAATGTAATGCAATAAAAATAAAATGAAATAATTGCTTTCCTAGTCCATAAGTGGAAATCAAAAGTCAGTGGAGAGGCAGTTTTTCCAAGTTAAAAGCCATTCAAACTATGAATAAATTGTATCAGATCATTGCTATTAATTAACCAATCTATTCAAGAAACTTTTGGGGTAGACATAGCAGAGGTTAAACATTAGAAAGCCTTCCTGAAAGGCCAGCAGGGTCTGATTTCTATTCTAGGCTCATTGTAATCCTCATCCCAGTTCTCCCAGTAAAAATGATTTTCAACACACATGCTTTCTTAAAGACGAATTAAATAAAATCAGTAAGATTCCTTTTCCTAGTTTAGGGGTCACAAACCTTTTCCCATAAAGGGCCAGAGCATAAATTTAGGCTTTGTGGACTGTGTGGTCTCTGTCACAACTGCTCCCCTCTTTCTTTGTGGCTCGAATGCAGCAACGGGCAGAAATGAATTATGTGTGACTCTGTTCCAAACAACTTTATTTACAAAGACAGGCAGTGGATGGATTTAGTTTGCAGGCTGCAGTTTGCAGACCCCTTTCCTAGATCAAACTGAGAAGTCAGAAGGTGGGGTGTGATGCTAGGAAAACCTGTTTTTGCTGAATATAAAATGTAAGACAAACATCTGTACACGTTGCCTGACATAGCTGCATTAGCCCATCCCGATTTATTAATATATGCAAACACCTTCCCTCCTCTGTGATTCAAGGATCTCTTTACTTTTCTGTAAGCAGAGAAACAGTTCCAGTTCTCTTCAAGGCTAGGCCTGCTCTAAGGGGAATGAAAATGATTGCAATTGGAAAAGCTAATATTCTCCCTTACCAAAGTTTTAAGATAGAAAGTGGAGAAATAAAAACTTCATTAGTAGCCAGAACTGGGCCTTGGATCCTCATTGGTTTTGAAAGCACCAAATAGGCGAAAAAAACGAATGCATCAATCTTTCAGAATCAATGCATCTCTCTGCAAATAGAGCTAACTTTCTACTTCTACCCCATTCTCCCTTCATTCACCATAGAGACACCGGAAATCAGATCATCCCGGAGTTAAACTACGTTATGGTGCCAAGCAAAGATTCTTGGTATATAGATTCTTAGCAAAATGACAACCACGCTGTGAACTTTAGAAAATGTAACATAATGTAACATACAATCCATCGAGAAGCCTCCTAAATAGAAGGGAAGCCAGCAGCTGTGAGCTGTCGAGCTGTCCCTTTCAGCACCTGACCTCCTGAGATGCTTAATAAAATAGCCTACAAAGTATTACTCTCTCATCAGTGCCAAGAAGCATTGCTGGGGGAGATAAATAAAGCTATTTTCCAAACGGGGAATATTCTGGCGTGCCGATATTGAAATGACAGTTTCTTTATGGGATAGGAGATGGGCAGGAGAACACCAGCCAGGTAGTTGCCCCCGTGCCCACCACCAGTCTAAGGTCTATAATGAGATTCCAAATTAGATCGCTGAACCTCAGAGACGAGGTGCTTCACATCTGTGAGATGTTCAGCTTGACTTCATAATGAGTTCACCGAGCAGAATGAACCACTCTTGAAATCAAATACTTTGCATTCAGGATGAAATAAGTGGGGATCAATCATAGTCAGGGAAGTAGCATTTGCTCGGAATGTAATGCTATACTGAGCAAAAAAAAAAAAAAGGAAAAAAAAGGGACAGCATGACATGGAGTGTACAAGAGAGCCAGTCCGTGGGTGACACAAATGTGCACCATTTGTCCTGGGGCAGAGCTGCACGTATTAGCCTCTGGAGATGATATCTAAAGAAGGTGGGATGGTGAGAAGGACAAAAGGGTCATACTGTCTACCAACACAAATCAACATGCCCGGGAAGCACCCCCAAAAACCGCCATCTTAGGAATGTTTTCGGAGTGTACTCTTCCCAGAGGCTTTTGTCTGGGGACAGCTTTGGGGAACCAAGCACAGCAGTCTTGGTAACAAGGGTGTTTTATTTTGCATGCAGGTGAGATTCTAGACGGAGCCAGGCAGACTGCACCTACAGATGGCATGAGTGAGTGTCAGCAAATGCCCAGGACACTGCTGTGGGCAGCTAAAGAGCTTCACAGGAGAACCTGCACCTTTCACTGGCCAGGCAGCTCACTCACCAAGTCCCTAACGTGAGTTTCTGGGGAAAGCCCTGTAGGCTGGCATGGCCAACACCCCAATAATCCAGGGCCTTTGATCCCAGCCAGCCTGCCATGATTAGTATACCTGCCAGGGCCAGGGTTCTCCCAAGGCAGGGGTTGGCTGCTGGAAATAATCAGGGGCACCCCCAGGTGTGACCCACCTCTCCTTTCTCAGAATCGAGATCGTTACCTGTTCAGTGTCTAGCGGGGAAATGTCACTGGAGGCCTCATTAACAGCAGACAGTACAGAGAGTCATCCTATAACTTCTGGCTTTTCTGCAGGATTTGAAGCTTATATTATAGGAGGAAGAAAAAGAACAGGTGTCATGACTTGTCTTTCTCTTTTTTCATCCTGCAGCTGTCACTCAAAGCATTCCAAACAGAACGAAAAGCACCAACAGGAAGCTCAGTGAGTTGCTTGGCTTGGGAGGTCAGGTTTGTTCCACTCATTGTTTTTTACCAGAAGGGACAGTGACCCAGTGTCCCTCTCTCCTACTTTCTCTTTCAAGATTCTCTTTTGACTTGACACAACCTCTTGGCTGTCAAGCTCCATCCAGATCCCAGCAACCACCTGCTTGGATCAGTCCTGGACATGGACCTGCTGCTGGCCTTAGGCTACTTTCTGGAATCTTCCAAAAGTCACAGGGGAGCAAGTAAGTGCATTTCATTCTCTCTGTTCCTCACTGTGTCTGCTAATGAAAGCTTTTCTGCCATGGGGAGAGAGACTGGCCCATCTGGTGCTCCTTTGTTCCCAGTAAGATTGTAGGAATAGAGGGGAGATATTTTGGATGGCAGCCTCTGGTTGCTACTACAGTTCCTTCTCTGGACTCACCCTGCCATGCCAAGCTGTGATTTTCAGCATGGAAATGGACTGGAAACAGTGAGGAATGTGATGGAAGGCCTTCAGGGTCAAAGAAAAACAAGGTGGGGACATGCAGTACATAACACAGCTAAGCAATGCTAGTGTGTGGAATGCCTCTTTAGGAAAAGGTGTTTCCCAAACTGCTCTACCAATTAACTTATTCTGGAGCGTTTCCCAAGACTGTTATTCTGGGGGGAACTTTAAGGGTTAAATGGTGAGAATGATCATTGCTGTTCATTATACCTACATACCGAGGTAGTATACTGACAGCACACACACCAAGAGCCATTGCCATCAGGAGACAAGAAGACTGTGGTCTCTCATTAAGACAGGTACAAATTGATCCAGGGTGTTCAAGGTCAAACCATGAAAAGAAGTGCTGTTGTTCTGCTATTTGTCTCCCTCTCTTTCTTTTAAATTTACTCCTCTCCAATTCATTGAATCCCCACCCCCCCCATGCCATTCTTAGACTCTCTTAGGGAAAATTCTGTGTACTTTTCTAAGTTGAATCTCATTTTTCTATTCTTGTCCGTATTCTTGTTCCTAGGGGAAAAGACATGGCTAGAATTCTTGTGTGTGTATGACTGATAAAGCCTTTAGAAAAAGAGATAATGAGGCAGAGACCAACAGAGACTCAAAGACTCTCCAGCATGGATATAACACAACAACTATGTCATCTCAAAAGAAATCTTGTCATTAATATGCCGGGGATGGGAGTCCTTGTCTGAGTGGTCATGCAGGCGGGCCGCATTTTCCGAGTACCTGCCGCGCTGCAGACAACTGTCCCAGTCACAGTGGGGAATTATATAGGAGCAAGGCACTCTAATAAAAATAAGAGGGACCGAACAAAAAAGCACTGAAAAATACAGAGAGGAAAAAAAAATGCACTCTCAGAAGCACTTGTGTAATCCGGTACATCATTACCTGAGTGGTGAGGGTGTGCCTACAGTGGTGGAGGAGAAGCTGTTAGAGCCTGCGAGAAATTGTCTGGGGAGGCCTCCTGGGGTGGGGAGAGGGTGCTCTGAATACTAAGACAAATTTGCATCTAGTAGAGGAGAGATTAAACAAAGAGTTTCCGGGGGCCCAGCAGTGGGGAAGCAAAGCTGCAGGAAGGCCCTGGCCCTCTCAGCTGGTTCTTTATCCAGGCCCTCTTGGGTTAGAGCCCCTTTCTACACATATTCTCTCTTAGCTTGCTGTGGGCCTTCTGGTTTGTGAGAGCCAGGAAACTTGAAGCTTTAGGAACAAAGATTGTCTTCCTTTAAACACAGGTGCACTGCCATGTCCTCCGTCTTACAAATTGATAATGGAATAAAGAATTTTCTTTTGTGAACGGAAGTGCCAATGAGATCAGGTCAGTTATGTCAATATCCTCTCTGGCCCTTTCAACTTGGTGAGGCAGTGGAGATGCCATATGACAGCTACAAATAATAGCCCTAGGCAATGAAGGCTTTCAAAGCAACTGTCTTGGATGTTTCTCCATTTATGTGGTGTGTTTGCCATCATCTTCCAGGCTCTGCATCCCTGCTTTAATCCATGCTTCTGGCCTCTTTGTCTTTGGCAAACCTTTGGATTCCTGTAGGCTCATAGCTCCTCGGTTCCTAGCTCGGTCCCTTTTCCTGGTTTCTGAGTTTCTAACATATCTATGGGGGAAGAACCTTCATTGGCAGGAGTGCTCACCTCCTCTCTCTGCGTTCCCGCGCTGCCCTCTTCGCCTCCCACCCTGTCCCCCACTATCCTTCCCCTCCCCGTACACATCACTGGGAGAAGATTCTGACACAGATATCCCAGCGATTAAAATTCTTATGCTTACTGGGGAAAGAATACTGTTAAAATAATTTCCCAGAAGTGATGAAGTAGTTTTTACCAAGTTAAAAAAATGATAGAATAGGAAGAGCCAGGTCTAGGGGATTTGATTACCTTTTAATTACTCTAGTAGTTCTCAACCTTGGGGGTGATTTTGGCCCCACCCCAGGGGATATTTGGCAATGTCTGGAAACATTTTGGTTGTTGGAGAGAGGCAGGTGGTTGCTACCTGCTCTAGAAGTTAGGGGTCAGGAATGCTCCTTATATCCTTCAGTGCACAGGACTTACCAGGCCTAAAATGTCAGGGTGTTCCAGATGAGAAGACCTGAATTACCCTAACTGTAACAAAGTTGTGTTGTTTACATTTTGGTAATTTAGTTTACCTAGGAAGAAAAAGATACATTTTTCCCTAGCTAGTCAAATGAATGCAAATTTCTTTGGAAGAAATTTTTATTCTTGGCTCCTCCCTTTACTCAATGTCCAAGAAATTTCCAGGGATTGGCAAACATTTTCTGTGCCAGCTACTGAATGTTTTAGGCTCTATAAGGTTAAGAGGCAAAAGTGAAGATATTTATACAACAAGGGAGAAAATCTCTGCTGTTTGCCTTCAGTGGGCTGTCCCAGGTGGTGGGTAGGCTTTGCACCTGTGTGCTAGAGGAAGAACAACTGGCTCGAGAGGTGTGGCCTGGCAGTGCGGTGACTCTTGGGCTGAGAGTCCATCACTCAGTGCTAACAGCAAAGTCCCTCACACTCAAGGGGCAATAAGAGCTGGCTTTGGGTAGCAGCAAGGCTCAGCTGCCAGCTAGGGAGGGAGGTGGGGGTGGAGCATGGATCACAGAGTGGATGCCTGGGTTTGGTCTCCATGACTCTGGTGCTAGCCAGTGCAAGTTCCTATGGGCTGTAGATAAAACAGAAAGATAGGGCCTGCAAGCTGTAGTTTGTCAAGCCATGACCTGTATTGTTCTGGATTTTGTATTTCAACATCTTCATTTTTCTGAGAGGTTTCTTTTTTTTTTCCATTTACGATTTTTATTTATTTATTTATTTGAGAGAGAGAGAGCACAGAGCGAGAGTGAGAGGGAGAAACAGACTCCCCGCTGAGCAGAGAGCTTGATGTGGGGATTGATCCCAGGACCCTGAGATCATGACCTGAGATGAAGGCAGATGCTTAACCCAACTGAGCCACCCAGGCACCCCCTTTCTGAGGGGATTCTTCTGTTTCAACCTGAAGAGAATTTCCAAATGTTTCTACAGTCTTTAGTAACAGCAGAATTTAACTTAATCATGGAGCAAAATCATATATAAAGATCATTTTCCCTAAATGGGGTCGATCCTGTTCAGCTCTACCATGTAAAACTTTGGGTTGCTAGACTTTGAGGGGGGCATATTGGATTCATTAAGATGTCTATATCCAGATTACCCACCAGCAAAAAAAAAAAAAAAAAAAAAAGATGAGACTAGTAGGCATAAACTCCTCTTTATTCCCTAAACCTGTAAATGTACAGCTCAAAATATTGGTCTGATTTTATTGGCATAATAGCTATGAGAGTTAGTCTAAATAAGTTAAATACTTTATATATTTTATATGAAAGGAAGGGAAGTAATTATTAGAAAACAATCAAAACCCTTCCCACTTCCTTTTCTCTGTTCTTGGAGAAAGAGGTACATTCTTGGAGAAAGAGGTACATTCGCCAATTTGTATGCCAATTTGTTCAAGCTTATTCCTCTACCTGTATCCTTGGTCCAATTTTTATCTCCTTGGAAATAAGCTCTTTAACAATCTTTGTCTTATATCCACTAACATTTTCAAGAAGTACCATTCTAAATGACGAACCCTTTAGAAGCATTCTTATTATATTTGTAAACAACACATTAATGCTTGCTGTCTCGGCTATGAAACACTCCAGTGGAGGTCCTAGAAAATTGCAATAAGACAAGAAAAAAAGAAATTATCTATTTGCTAGTTTATCTTCTTCTGCTCATCCCTGAACTGGTATGTTTTCAGGCCTATATTTTCAGTGCTTTAATTTCTTATTGTATATGCTCCCCATAGGTGGACTCATTGTCTCCCATGGCTTTAGTTATAGTATATAAATTAAGTGTCCAAATCTATATTGAAAATTCAGACTTTTCTCCTGAACCATGCTCTTAACATCTAATTCTTTATTAAATAGCACCACCTGTATGCCACAGAGGCATCTGAAAGTTAACATATCCAATATATTCAACACTGAACTCATTATCTTCCCCTGTAAATCTGCTCTTTCTCTATGTACAGGGTTTATTCATGCCAAAATGTCAATAGTATCTAGATTGGGAAACCTCCATTTTTTTCTGTATTTCCTATCATGGGAACAGAGCCAGCCTTCACTCATCCTACAATCCTCAATTCTGGGAGTCATTCCAAGCTCATCCACAGACAACTGTGCACCAAGATTTTGTCATTTCTGTCCTCACTTTTCTTTTTCTACCACTACTGCCTTAGATTAGGCTTCCATCATATTTCTCCATAACTATTGTAATGATACATTAATTGGCCTCCCTGTTAATTCTTATATTCCTCCACAGTATTGCAGTTACAGGGACCTGTTGAAAATGAAAGTCTAATCATATTATTTCCTGACTTAAACTTTTTCTGGAGTTATAAAAGCCTTGACAGGTAAAGTAGAAACTATTTAGCATATACACAAGGTCTTCCACTTTCTGGTCCTGTACTGTTAACAGTCAGTATTCATCTATTCTTTGTATTTATTACAATATTTACTTAACATTATGTGCTAGGCATATGCACTTACATATGTTTAATTTAATCTCAAAACAGCCCTAAAATGAAGGTATTGTTTTTATTCCCTCCATTTACAGTTCAGGAAACTAAGGCACAAAGTCTTTAAAGAATTTATCCAAGATCACACAGCTAGAAAACCACATGTTTGGAATTTGAGCCCACATGGACTGATTCCAGAGCGTAATACTCCCTTCCCACTCCCAGGAGGACACAGGAGCTCAGGAACACCCTTTTTCCCTCCTTTTCCTTCTTTTGGGTCTTGGTTGCACAGAATCAGCTTTGTGTTTGTTTTATGACACATTCTCAACATTGCCATGCATGGATAGTTCGTTATTTTTAATAACGTTATCACACCCCCAAATGCCACCCAAAACGTGACTCTTAAGACCTTGACAATAATCTAAACCTAAAAATATGACTCATGTTTTTATTTCCCTTCCCTGTTTCTCTGAAGTTACCATCATTCTGAATCTACTTTTGTTTTAATATACACTTATTGCTATCATATGTATTCCCCAAAAGTATATATTTTTATTTTAGATGATTTCCACTTCAAAAGGCTATCCTAATTCTTTGGGACATACTGTCCCGAAGACTGACCTATATCACTATACTTTGACCAGTATGTAACAAACCGTTTTGTGAATATACTACCTTTGGTTGATCTGCTCTTTAGTTGATGGGCATTGGCTTGTATCCAGGACTTGGTTGTTCTGAATAGTGGGCTGCCACTCTTAGACATGTTTCCTTGTATGTGTGCACAAGTTTTCTTTGGGCAGAGCTCATGTTCTTCATCCCTATGCTGTACAACATTGCCTCCTGGCTATACTTAGAGTCATTCAGTCATTCAACAAATATTTATTGAACACCTATGTGTTCTAGGTGCTGAGGAAATAAAGAGAGAGAAAATTCTTCCTCTTATAATGCTAATGGGGAAGACAGAAAAAACAGAGAAGTTAATGAAACACATAAGTAAGGTATAACATATCTTTTTCCATTTCTCACTTCACAGTTAATGCTACAGCAATTCTAAACTACTGGAACATAAGGTTTGATTCCTCCAAATTTTTGCTCATATTGTTTGATTTGCATGCAGTGTCCTTTTAGCCCTGGTGTTTTCTGTGTAACTTTTATTTCCTTTTGTCTTTCAAGATTCAACTCAGATAATACCTCTGTTATGAAGCTTTCGGTGGTACCTCCTTAAGGTAAGGTCCCCTCCTGTGTACTCAAATAGATCCTTATCATATCTTTATCACATCTCTTTTCCACTTTCTTCCTCCTCCAGAGTAAAAAATCAAATCTTACTATCTTTAAATAGCTCTAGTGACCAGTGTGATAGCCACAGATAAAAGGTGTTCCGTAGATGATTATCAGAAAAAAAGCTGAAATACTTCTCAAAATTCTAGGACAGTATCTTCTGAAGGAATTCACACTTGGGATTTTAAGAAAGAGACTTAGTTCTGTATATGAGGATTACAAGAAGTAGTTATGATGAGTGCATCTCTTCACTCATGAAAAACAAATGTAGTCTGGTCATGCCCTTACTCAAGGGAATGAGACAACCTTATCATTAATTAATTCAAGAGACGTGTTGTCAAAAGTTCTTCTGTTCCTTTTGCACAAGAGATCAAAAATGGATTTGGAAAAGAAACTCCAATGAAGTGGTTTGGAAAGCAATGTAATTTAGCAGAAAAAGCAATGCTCTTGAAATGAGAAGAACTTGGTGGTGTTATAGGTAGAGATCTTGAACTTATGGAATGAGAAAGAGAAAAAAAAATCAAAATCATGGAGAATGTGATCTGAAGGTCTGGAGAATAGATATTCTATAGCCACCCTTTTCATTCATAATGATTTTTCTTACCTAGAAGAAAGTCCATCTTAGATATTTAAACTTTAATCTGACTTAAAGTTAAGACAAATGGATTCTTCTAATTTTTTGATATCTATTCATGAATAAAGATACAGGTTATCTCTCTCATGTCTGTATTTGTTGTTCTCCTTGTCAATGAAACTTTTGATTGTGAAAGTACTATAGGCCCTCCCCCCACCTCCTTCCATCCTTAATTCCTAACTGGTAATAGAGGATTATGTCAAAGAAGGCTACATTGATTTGCAAACAAAGAAATAGGAATTAAAGACAGTCTTTTGAGAGTTCTAAAACAAAGTGGTGTCCCAGGACCAGGAAGATGAGGAAAAGACAAGAAAGATGGGAGAATTCTACAGAAAGAGGGGACCAGAATGAAAAAGATGGGTAGTAAGAAATGTCTATGGTGTTTATGGTCAGAAATTGGACATGAAACACAACAGCCATGTCTGTCAATGGAATCAAAATTAATGATCCAGTAATCTACTACTGGTTATTTACCCAAAGAAAATAAAAGTACTATATCAAAAATATATATGCACCCTGTGTTTATTGAAGCATTATTTACAATAGTCAAGATATGGAGGCAACATAAGTGTCCATTGCTAGATGAATGGGTAAAGAAGGTGTGGTATATGTACACAATGGAATACTACTCAGCCATAGAAAGGATGAGGTCTTGCCATTTCTGATAACAGGGATGGACCTAGAAGGTGTTATATTAAGTGAAATAAGTCACACTGAGAAAGACAAATACCATATGATTTCACTCATACATAAAATCTAAAAAACAAAAGAAATGAATAAATAAACAAAAAACAGAATCAGACCTATAAATACAAAGAACAATCTGATGGTTATGGGAGGGAAGGGGTGTAAGGAGATGGGCAAGATGAATGAAGAGTAGGAGAGGCCTACTCATTCCACAACAGGCCTCCATTTGTGGAATGAATAAGTCACAGGGATGAAAGGCACAGCATAGGGAATATAGTCAATGATATTGTGGTAGTGTTGTGTGGTGATGGATAGTAGCTCCACTTGTGGTGAGCGTTGCATAACGTAGAGAGATGTTGAATCTCTATGTTGTACACCTGAAACTAATGTAACATTGTGTGTCAACTATGCTCAAATAAAAAATTAAAAAAAATAAAACAAGAAACAGAAAACTAAAGAAAAATTTTAAATGTGGAAAAGAAAAAAAAACTGATGAGAGTTAAGTGATGAGGAATGTAAGCAGTATAGGGACTCCTCGGGTCTCTGGGCTGCATAGGACTGGAGCTGGTTTATGTACACATTAAAAGAAAAGGTCTTCCAGGATGACTAGCATTTGTGAAGACGTGGGAGTACATTTAGAATTGTAATAGGCATTTGGGACTGCATATACTTAATGAATTTAGGGTTGCTCATAATATTAAATAATACTGGGATGTTTCCATGTAGTTGTTTTTTTTTTTTTTTTAGATTTTATTTATTTTTTAGAGAGCGAGCGAGAAACAGCATGAGAGGGGAGAGGGTCAGAGGGAGAGGCAGGCTCCCCGCCGAGCCGGGAGCCCGATGTGGGACTCGATCCCAGGATCCTGGGATCAAGACCTGAGCCGAAGGCAGACGCCCAACCATCTGAGCCACCCAGGCGCCCCTCCATGTAGTTTTGAAAGTATGGGCATATAGGTTTAGAGCTATCAGCATCACACAGAGTTCCTTTTCTTAAAAAAATGTACAGTTTTTTTTGTTTGTTTTTGATTATCTTAAGGTATAGAGTTCAGAAGAGGTGACCAGAAAGGATTATTTAATCGAATGACAAGTACAATGGAATATGTGTTCTTTTCTTAAGAGTACTCATCATACATATCCATATGAAAGAAAGATATCCGTCGAACTTTTATGTCTGTATCAGTTTATGGCTGCATGTAACTGACACCTTCAAAGAACAATGGTTTAATTAGTATAGAGATTGACTTTTCTCCCACAGATATGAAGGCAGGAATAAGCAACCAGGGGATGATGTGGTGCCCCAATTGGTTCATCAGAGATCTAGTTTCACTCTATGTACTTGCCTCATTATCACCAATATATGTCTTCTACTTCGTGATTCAGCTTCTTACAATCCAGCTGCCATGTTCTCATTTCAGGGTATATGAAGAAGAAATAGGAAAAGGGGTTTTTAAAACACTTCTGGAATTTTTACCTTTTACTTCTGCTTACTTCCACTTAATAGGATGTAGGCTGGGAAATGTTACTTTATTCTGGGAAACCATGTGCCCAGCTTAAAATTGGAGACTGGGGGAAAACATATAATACCTGCCATCATGTTTCATATAGTCTTAGTTCTGGGGCTGTCTTACCCAGTGGAGATACCACTGACAAGGACCAATCAAATGGTGGGCATGATTGACAGATCTTTAGGAACTGGGTAGTATCCAGTGAATGATATAAAAATAGTAGCCAAACAGATGTTAGTGGTCACTATGTTTTAGACAGGACATTACCACTTCTTGGCATTTGAAACTGTATCACCCTGGGGAAAATTTTTTGGTCATTGAAAGGGGAGAGAGAGAGAGAGAGAGGGAGAGAGAGAGAGAGAGAAAGAGAGAGGAAAAATATTAAAGAGTAAGGCATATTTCTTTCTCTAAAATATTGATTTTTCCATTTTAAGTTAGAGTCAAATATCAATATAGGTAAAATTGGTAGTTCCCAGAACTGATGAGTATTCACAAAGCTTAACAAATGAATGCATGGCTTGATCTTACTGCAGCATATTTAGAGAGAAAAGAATGTATTGATCAACTCGCTTTAGGACACCTTCTATGAATTACTACTGTTTGAAATAGCCCTATTACCAGAAGCCTATATAGGCTATATTTTGTTCATTATAAGGGAATTCATACTTTGCTGGTTTTGAGTCATGGTCTAATATTAGGGGTGTCACAAGGATATGTAACATATGAGTTGTGGGTTCTTGTCTTGCCTTAGTTGCTGAATCATAGTTTAATCTTGTATGAAAAAATAGAGTGTCCCTGCCTCAGTTACACTCTTAGGAATATAGTATTAAGGATTATTCATTTCTAACCACAATGGAAGAGAGCATTGTTGTAAAAAGTCACCTCATGGTATACCCTTGATTACCAAAGGGTAAAATCCAACCTTCCTAAAAGTAGAATGTTTATGAGGGTATCCTCACTTTTGTTCCTCCTTTGACTTACTTTTAAGACAGCTTTTATTATTTTGAGTCACAACTCATAAAAAAAAAAACAAACAACAAAACAAAACCAGCCTGTAGCTACAACTGTGTCTAAAGGCATTCATGCTTTAATTGCTTCACATATAACATTTAATAATTACTGAGTTGACACACTTCATTTATCTAAATTTATCCAGCTCTAATGAAAGCTGCCTACATAATTTGCTATTGTGAATGACAAATACACAGTTATATCACAACTCTACTTATTTTGGAGTGGGCCCCAAAGAAATTGACATGTATTCTATATATACCTTGGAACTTCTGACCATAAGGAGGCTCCTATATCTATTTGGAGGTATTGAAGACTGGGAAAAAAAAAATAGTTTGCCTTATTAAGTTAAATTCTGCAGGAAAGAATTTAGCAGAAAATCTATAATAATGTTTATAAGTGGATGGTGCCTAAAGTTATTTTCTTTTTGTTTAATCAGTTTTGCAGAATTGTAAAATGTTAGATTCAGACATTGAATTACAGATTCTAAATGCTTAGAAGAGGAGTTCAAGAGAACAGACAGGAATCCAACAGTCTAGGACTCTTTTCCAGATATGGAGAATGTAATTTAAAGGAATCAGTTAACATTTGACTCTGTCAGATTTAAACGATATCAGTAATAATCTTTTATGATACATTTATAGAATTATTATGATTAGTTAGGTAAGAGCCAAGTGATATAGACTAAAGACACAAGTAGTACAGGAATTGAGAGTTTTTGTGGATAGAAAGATGGGGGAAGCCATGACCTTCTGCTGGATCATGATGGGTAGATGAATCAGATATAGATTAAGGGAAAAAAACAGAGAATCATATTCCTGGAGGATGCAATGAGGGAGCAAGAGCTTGAAGATGGAAATGAGTCAAATGTGTTCTGATTTTTGAGAAAAATAGAGCATTCATCCTCGGGGATGATAAGCATGGGCTTGATTAATTTGGTTGGAATGTGATAGATCTTGAACTTGATCAAGTAGAATGTGAATGAAATTCCAAACATTTGATCTACAAAAGACATAATACAAGTGGTGTTTGGGATGATTAAATTCAAGTATTGCATGGAATGGTAATAGGAGACATTAGCAGTAAGACCATGGCAGCTTTCAAACTTGCC